CAGAAGCATGTCGCGATGTGAATCTCCCCATCCAATTCTTACTCGATGACACACATTTCGTGTGTTTTATGTGAGCAGTTCTGTTCGAACAGTTGGAGTAGAGAATATTGTAAGTTACTGCTAGCAAAACAATGCGAAATATGTAATTATTTTCGGTAATCCGGACACTTTTGGTAATCTGACACACCTTTGGTCCCATACCTGTCGGATTATCAAGGGACAACTGTAATTTGAAATTATGTTTAAGTCAGATCTTTATATGAACTAAACACTTCATGCATTTTTACTTTCTGGCTGTTATATATAACAGAGGGAAAATATGGCAATTGGTCAAAAAATGATCCTTTGAGATTTTTACATTTATGCATTCAGGACATTGAAACATTGAAAAATGCAAAAAGTTTGAGATTTTTTCTGTATGTATGGATGTTATGGATTTTGTTCGCCCTCGTTGAAGCTTAATAATTCCTATGCTTTTTGTCGAAAATTTATGAAATTTTGCAGGGAGGTTTGTTTTAGGTGGATTTATGCTATTAAATTTTGGTGATTGAAGGTCGCAGGAGTTGGGAGATAGAGATGTGTATCTCCAGTAGAGTCAGATTTAATAACAATTTTACTCATTACTAGTATTTACAATTTTTTATAAAACTCATCCCTACCCTCAAAATTAAGCTTTTTGCCATTTTATAATAGTTAAAAAAAAAATATATATATATAAGTTTTTAAATAAAATATGATAACAGATGGCACCACCAAATGTTGCCAGAGAAGTTAAACAACTTGTTGCTAGATTTTTGATATGGAACAGATAGCATAATTAAGAAACGATTCATCTTCCTTTCCTGATAAAGTGATATGTTTTTGATTTCTTTGAAATATTCATGATTTATCCTGAAATTAAAAATAAATATTTATATATAACTTACATATATTTACCGTATTTACTCGCATATAAGACGATCTCGCATACAGGACAAGGTGTGACTTTAACTAATAACGAGGTAATGATAAGAAAATAAAGCTTTCTTTTTCATTATGATTTATTTATCTTCAATTATCTTATATAAGTAGGTAACAAAATTATTCATCACACACAGAAATGTAACTTGGTTATTTTTGAACAACATTTAACCAATTCAATGTTGAAATTTTTATTTGTTGCCTGTGACGCCATGTTGAATTTTCATCGATGTTAAGCCTAAAAATTTTTTTTTAAAATAATAATCATGTTTACTGTATCGTAAAAAATTATTTTTTTATGTTTCACAAACAAAATATATATATTGAATATATAAAAACGAAATAAATTTTATTTTAAAAGTTCGTTTTAATGTAAAAATTGTGACGCGAAGTGACATCTAGTATCAAAAACATTCCAATGTAAACACGGAAATATTCTGTTCTATTCTATTCAGATAAAAGACAAGAGGGGCTATCTGCGATTTAGTGCAGACTTTACCCCTATAAAGGAAGATAGGAAAGTGTGAAATAAGCAACCATAAGCCCCCCACAGGACTCCATGGGCACCCACAACACCTTTATTAAAACAATACTTACAGAGTAATACAAATAATTAACAGTAACATTTTTACATACAGATGCAATTAACAGAAGGATGCATATCTTTTGCATCAAAGTATATACAAACATATTAATCGATAGATAAATAAATGATAAATAAACAAAATGGATAAACACAGTTTTGGTTACATTAGTAAACAGTAAATTTTTGCTTACGTAATAGGAATTTGCATGGTTGGTTGAATAATTTTATACATATTTACAGTTTTAACAATTTAGAATGGGATGCAATACTTATTGCATTAATGAAAATTAAATATACAACAGGTATAATTTTAAAGTTATACATTTAGTAATCAGTTGACAAGGAATTTTTGATGTAATCTTACAGATCGAATTCCATAAAGTTTTAACAAGAAATTTTGACAAGATAACTTATAACTTAATAATTACACTATGTTATTCGTAGCACAGTTAAATTTATATTCAATTCACTACATATAACAGTCTTTATTTTTAACATTTTTCTTTAATCTTCATTGCTTGTGAAGGAGGAGTAGTTATTGTCATCATCACTAACACTAGTTTCTGTTGTATCTGTGTTGAGTATATTTAAATTCAGGTCACCAAACTGAGGTACTAATGCACCACTGCCCTGTATAAACTTCTCAAATGCTTTAAAAAGTTTGTTATTCATTATAAGTTAGTTCTGTTTTGGTGGCCATTTTTTCCCTTCTGTGATACATATTCTGTCAAAATTTTCTCTGAGGGTTGTATATTTGGTGCATTCGAAGAGGAAGTGATAAACGGTATCTTCGTTGTTCGTGTGTGCGTCACAATGGTTGTAGTCTCTCTTCTTGAAACGGTGCAAATATGAGTTAAAACATCCATGCCCTGTCAGGCATTGTGTTGTTTGGAACGATGGTTTGAATATCGTGTTTTTTTTTTTGTCTGTCTTCGATGGATGGGAAGAATTTGAAGCACAACCTTCCAGTGGGTGATTCTTCCCACTCTGTTTGCCATAAAGCACAAATTTGTTGGTTGATGTACTTAGTTATTGAGCTNTATATATATATATATATATATATATATATACATAATCCAATCCATTATACTTTCATTTCATCTTTTATTATTTTATAATTTAATGTGTATAATCCACTTTACTTTTTTTATTGTAATATTGTAAATGTTAATTCATTTATTTGAATATGCTTACATTTAAACTTGGCATTTTGTTATAGTTAAGTGTTTGATTTTGTTCAAATATTCATGTTTATTTTGATAGTTAACATTTCATGTTCTATTTAGAATAGTTATATCCTGAGTATGGTCTGTTACATGGACTGAAAATGTTTGATTTCAAATAAATGCTTCTATTTAGAATGTAAACATTTTTTAGATATTAGAAAACAGGAGTACAGTGGTGCCTCATATAACGTACTTAATCTGTTCAAGGTGAACGTCTGTTAAGTGAAAAGTCCATTATACGAAACGCATTTTTCCATAGAAATACATGTTAAAACATATAATTTGTTCTGCAGCACAAAATAACCATACTGTACCATAAAAAAAATGAAAAATGGAGCAGTCACCAATTATGCCGGGTAGTCAGATGTTGTGAGGAGGAGATGGAGGATCACTTTATTCACACATTCATACATACAGATACAGACCTTTTACACATTGCAGCAGGTCTCTTTTTATTGTTTTTTAATCGGAGTCAGATTCAGGAGAGGCTACCGGAGCTTGCAGGGTCAACTCCTCTTGTTCCATCCTTTGTTTTTTGCCTGCTTGCTTCTTGAAAAACATGTCCAAGGTGGTCTGTTTCTCTCTCTTCTTCAACACCTGTCGGAAATGACGGGCAAGGGTATCATTGTAGAGATCGATGATCCTGTTGGCCTCAACTGTGTTTGGATAATAAGTGTTGGTAAACTCCTGAACATCTCCCCATTTGGCAAGGAAGTTTCTGTCAACTTTTATTCCTTCTGATGATTTCTTGTTTTGTTTCAATTGAAATCACCTTTCTGTTTTTTTTAGAAGCCATGATTTTCACAACACTTGAATAAATGTAAATACCCTGCACTGAGGTGATGTA